TCTGGTCAATAACGATATACAAATTTTTTGGTAGATCAATAACGATGGTCCAAATAGGTCAATATCAATGTTTTTGCCTCTGATCTTGATTGATCACATTTTCTCCACTTTGACGTATCTTATTAGACATAGGAATTTATTATAACGACGCTCTCACTGGAAGATAATAGTATTTCAGTTAAATTATTTTATTAGTGGTCAAAATTTTCAAATTCCGGGGCATTTCATAAATTCGCCGCAATGAAAGACATTATAATGATACAGCAAAAACACAGTCTTATATGCATAGCATATCAACATTGTTACGTATCAATATGTCACAGCATAACTAACGTATAGTCAAATTAAATCATGTGTATGACTGTGTTAGTATTACGTTTCAATATTTATACTATTTATACCCAAATATAAACAAAAAAAATTTTCAACAATGCTATGATGTTAATCAAATTAAGATTTAGGAACGTTGTTACCAACATAGTACAGTATGATTAACATTAGACAAAGTATAATGAATTAAATTGTGTATTGCTGTATTACTAATAATATCCCCAATGTTTATTCCAAAATATAAACAAAAGTTTTTCAACTCTAAGCTAGTTTAATCCAATTAAACTAACACAGTTATTTTTAAAAAAAGAAATATCCTTATGAAAAAAATTTGACAGGCCCAGGTTTTGAACTAACAAAATATTTTTTTGCCCGATTAAATTATTCTATAACTATTGAAGCTATGCTTAAGAATAACTTTGATAAACCAATAAATCTGGCACAATATCGTTATGACTTTATTTATGGCATATATTTATGTGTTCATGTATTAAAATTTTGCTAATAGCTACCATATTATGTGCCGAAAAGAAAATAAAAGGACTGACTATGACGTAGGCACAGGAGGATATTATCGCGAGGATCATGATCATTGCGAGTCAAATGATAAGTATAAAGATTTCTTCGGCGTTTTTCTCGCTGGTAGCATTTATTAAATCACTTTGGCATCTTTCTTAACTCCAGTAGCATTCTATATTTTTGAATCACAATAGCATTCTTGAATCTCTGGTATCTTACCACCAACAGTAGCATTCTTTTACATTAAGTCTCTTTAGCACCTCTGTTCTTTTCTTTGAATTTTCACGGCACATTCTATTTCCAATTAATACGTACTTTTTTTTCTCTATACATATAGTTTTTTTTGCCTAAATTTTCGCGGCATATTCTTCCCGTCTAGGTTTTTCAGCACGTTCAATCTTCAATAATTTCTTTACATATAATTTTTTTTTTTAGCGCTTATTGACCGATCGATAGGTTACGCACCTCACCTGACGATCTACATCTGAGGCACAACATAAATAAGCCATAAATTCGAAACTAGAAATGTGCTTTTCTTTTGCTGCTTTGCATAGTCACCCGAAAACCTATTTCTGGTTAATCAAAAGGGTTTTCCCTTTCACCCCTCCAAAAAAAACATACTAGGGTAATCAACAAATAGAATCTTGTATATTTACGGCATACTGATACTATTTCAACGCCGCGTAATCATGACGAAATTTGTGGGAATCGGGAAACTGGACGATTGTGTACCCCATATCTCTGGATGGTGAAAAAGATCAGGTTGACAGCTGTGTACGCTCCACACCGTTCTCAGAAAGAGCATGAACAGCTTTGTACGCCCAACACTGTTCTTGAAGTACTATAAATAGCATGTACACCCCACACTGTTCTAGGTAAATGATAAAAAGCAAGTAGTTTAGAAAGTAAAGCTAAATATAGTTCGAAATGTGGAATCAGAGCGAGAACAATTAATATTACTAATTTGCTAGTAAAATCAATTCTAACTTTAAAATTTAAATGATCTTTTTCAAAGTAAAATAAAAGAATGTGAATAATGAAATATTAGCTTTATTTTGTTATATCTTGTTCTTAAAGTCACTTTATAACACTAGTGGAATGTTATCCTACTGTATGTCATTGCAACATTAGAGGATTTTAATACAATAGCATTATAATATTTTAGATACAACAGCATCGACATAATAACATTACGACATTACGATATGTTATAGTTATTGTTCATGTGATATGATCATGTAAAAATTTTTTGCCTTGATATTTTTGTCATAAAATGACATAATCATTTATGCAAAATGTCACGACAAAAAATTTCACATGCTAATATAATATGAACAATAACATAAATATAAAATAACAGTGAATTTTTTTTTCATCGTACGCCCAATATCTTATTAATTACGGCATTACAACATTACGACTCAAGATAAGTATGGTAAATAATAACACATGTCATTGTCGTATTAATTTGCAAAATTCATTCGAGTACCAGAGTCCCATGACTAATCCGATGACGATGCCATACCAAATCTTGTAGTCTTTGTCTAAATATTAATATTTCCATAATACAAAGTAGAAGAAACATGAATGCCGTCAAGGGAAAACCTGTCATCAGGCTTTCAATGTCCAGTTTTGTTTACTGAGTGTCGTCTAAGGAAAATCTATCATCAGACTCCCAATTATATTTTGTGGCGAGTTATTACAAACTATAATTAAAAGCCCGATGATGAATTTTCCATATACGGCACTCAGTAAACATACTTAACATTGAAAGCCCGATGACAGGTTTCCTTTGACGGCACTCATATACAGTCAACTCTCTCTAAGTGCACGTTCTCTAAGGCAACTCTTAATAAAATTTCTCGAAATGCAAGACCTTTTTGTTCTCAAGTATATAGAGGAATATAAATTTTGTGTAAATGTAAGATTTTAATTTCTTTTATATTAAATTTTACTTAGTCCCGGCAACTTGCACTTAGAAAGAGTTGACTGTACCCAAAGTTTTTTGTGCCGGAAACTTTTAGTTAACAGAAAGCTGGTTTCTATAGCAAATTTATGAGATTTTTGTGATTTCTTGTTTTATTATTATTATTATTATTATTATTATTATCTTAGAATCGGTTGGGTAGAAATCACGGGACGACAAATTGCGCCATACTCATTAACGCATTAACGTTAATTCTACTGTACCACCAACAGCAATCTCCAAAATCCCGTGCTGAAGATCTAAATTCTTGGTCCGGATACAATAAATTACAGGATATTATATATAAAAAAAGTAAATAACACAAAAATTTACATGATAACTAATTTTCGACCTTCGAATAAAAGTTTTTGGCATGAAATTTTAGTTATAAGACACAATTTCTAAATCTAAATATATAGGGAATTCTTGATATACTACGAACCCATGTTTTTGGGTCGGCAGCCCGGGATTTTCTTGACATAAGAATAAGGGTACTCCAAGTGTACGTACGTACCTTGATACAATTTACAAAGTTGGGCTATTAAAGTCCACCATTTTAACATAGTGAAACGAACAGTAAATGCTCTTTGATATAATAAGTCAAATTAAGGTTTTAAATGAACTGTGCATTTTTGTATTTCTGTACCTTATTTACATGATACTCTTTGTCACACAATGTCATACGTACATACGTACGTACGTACGTACGTACATATGCACGTATTATTTTGATTTAAGAATCTTCCTTTAGAATATAATCATGTCAAATTGGTTTAAAACCGCAATTGAACAAGGATATATTAGATTATTCGAATTTAATTCCTTTGAGAACTTGCAAACAATCGATAGAGGAGGATTTGGAACTGTATATAGCGCTTATTCAAAAAATACTGAACAAACAGTAGCTTTAAAGAACTTACATAATGATTCTCATGATGATGATCGTTTAAACAATGGATTGATTAGAGAAGTAAATAAGTCATACTTAAATAAATTTATGCTTAATTACTCTATGTATTTTATGAATAATAATCTATTTTCATATTAAGATTAGAAACATTACTAAAGTTAACCATCATCATAATATAATCCGGTTTTTTGGAATCACCCAAGGTACGTTAAGTTTCTATATACAGTAATAGATAAACTTTATAAATATCTAACAATTAAGAATTTTAATGCTAATTAGATCCTAAAACTGAAACCTACTATATGGTACTTCAATTTGCAAATGGTGGAGACCTTAGAAGCTATTTGCGTGATCATTTTTCGGAATTGGATTGGCCAACTAAAATTAAAATGGCAGAAGAAATTGCTAGTGGGGTTAATTATTTGCATAGTTCTGACATTGTTCACCGAGATCTTGTAAGTTGTTTCTATTCGTATTCGTTTTGCTTATATCGTGTCATCAATTGTTATAATAATTTGTGTACCTATATTGTATTTTAGCATGATAAAAACATATTAGTGCATGATCATAGGCTATTAATTACGGATTTTGGTTTAGCAAAATCATTAAAAAATAATACTGTGTCTATTATTGCTGGAACTTATGCTTATTCTGATCCACTATATCTTCAAAGCCCATTCCTACACAAGCGAAATAAGCCTTCTGATATCTACAGTCTCGGCATGCTTTTCTGGGAGCTATCGAGCGGTATACCTCCTTTTAAAGATATAAAAGATATGGAAGAATTAGCGTTACTTGTAATCAAGGGTAAAAGGGAAAACCCAATCGATGGAACACCCGAAGATTTCATAAATCTTTATAGTGAAGCTTGGAATGGTGATGCAAAGTTACGTCCTGATATAATGGAAGTCCGTGATAAATTAAAACACATTCAAATTGAACAAGTTGATCATAAAGAGCAAGAATTTAATCGTAGTAATAGGATCAGTGATGATTATACTCCTCTCTCAATAGGTGGGCTTAATTTATTATTAGAATTAAATAATAATTTTTGTTTTTTTTTGGTTATCCTAATAACAGCTTATTTGTTTATAGACGAACGATTTAAAAAGATACGAATTGTTGAAAGCGATTCATTACATATTGTTGAAAGCAATTCATTAGATGCATTGATAAATCAAGGAAATTCTCGTCGTGAAAATAAAAAATATGAAGAATCACTTACTTTATTAACAACGGCATTAAAAATTGATCCTGATAATGCATTTGCATTAAAAAGTCGTGGTACAACTTACAGCATGATGAACAAATACAAAGAATCACTTGATGATTTAACTAAATCATTAGAAATCGATCAAAATAATGTTGATACGTTAATAATTCGTGGATGCACTTATCGAAAGATGTGCAGATATATGGAATCACTTACGGATTTAAATAAGTCTTTAGAGATTGATTTAAATAAGTCTTTAGAGATTGATTCAAATAACGTTGAAGCTTTATGTGGTCGTGGAATAACTTATCGCAAGATGACCGAATATAAAAAATCTCTTGCTGATTTAAATAAATTGTTGGAAATTGATTCAGACAATGCAAAGGCATTAAGAAATCGTGGTGAAACTTATCGCATGATGGGAAAATATAAAGAAGCACTTTCCAATTTCAATAAATCATTAGAAATTGAACCAAAGAATGCATTTGAATTAAGTAGCCGTGGAGAAACTTATCGCAAGTTGAACAAATATGAAGAATCTCTTGCTGATTTTAATAAATCATTAGAGATTGAACCAAAAAATGCATTTGCATTAAGTAGTCGTGGAGAAACTTATCGTATGATGAATAAATATGAAAACTCTCTTGCTGATTTCAATGAATCATTGGAAATTGATCCAAACGATATCTTTGCATTAGAAAGTCGCCAGAAAGTTTATAAATTAATGAACAAAAAATCAAAATTTACAACATTTATGCAATACAGTCGCACTCTTTTGTAATAATTTTATACACTTATAGATTAGATAACTCCTGTATATTGTGATTCTAAACAAATTATATTCTTGACATAATACATATCAATTACACATTGTTTAAAATAAATACATTCTCTACTTTTTGGACAAATGATATTACTAACTTACCCCTTGGTTAAATGATTATAACTCAAAATGGCTTAAATAACTATGTTTGATTAGGGTATTTATGGAAACCTAATTACAAATATAGTGCAGGTGGTGTAGTGATCATTAATCAATTTTTTTATAATTAGCAATAGCGTAAATAGTAAAAACATATAAATTTAAATTGCAATAACTCTTGAACAAGCAACCCTATACAAATAAAATTATATTTGTTGGGTTCATTTTAACATACTCTTTAAAGTAACGTCCTTTTTTTTATTTGTTTTTATTGTTTGGAGCATATCGGAGGACTCAAATTTCATGCAAAATGATCGTTTTTGATGCATTTTGATAAAAACATCAAAAACGTAACTTTGAATGTTTTTGCCAGTCACTATTGCATAATGGACAAAAATTTTTAAAGTTATTTTTATTAAAAAAAAACATCAAAACAATTATTTTGCATGGAAATTGAGTTTGCCGCTATGACAAAACAATAAAAATAAAAAAAGACGTTACTTTAAAGAATACAATAAAATGAACCGACAAATATAATTTTATTTGTGTGGATTTGCTTGTTCAAGCGTAATTAGGCTTGCATAAAAACCCTAATGTTTGATGAATTGTTAATGGGGTGCTTAAGAAAATAATAGGGACGAAAGGCCAATTTAACTCCAACGGTGTACGTCAGTAAAAAAAAGCTGCGGCTATCCAAATTCAATAAATATTTTTTTATTTTAATTCTACATATTCGCAGAATTAAAATAAATCAATTTCGCCGAATTTGGATAGAGATTGTTGAAAAATTATCATTTAAAATTTAAATAAAAAAATTTATTGTGATATTCTCTTTC